AAACGAATGGTGACGGATGACGAAAAATGGGTCGTCTATGATAATATAACGCGTAAAAGATCATGGGGGCACAGCAGCGAGCCACCGCAAACAACCTCGAAGGCGGGATTGCATCCGAAGAAAATAATGCTCTCCGTATGGTGGGATTTCAAGGGTGTCATCTATTACGAACTGTTACCGTCAGGCAGAACGATTGATTCAACTGTATACTGTTCGCAATTGACGAAATTGAACCAAGCAATCCGCACAAAACGTCCAGAATTGGCAAATCGCAAGGGTGTCGTCTTCCACCACGACAACGCCAAACCTCATACGTCATTGACCACTCGGAACAAATTGCTTCAGCTTGGCTAAGATGTTTTGCCTCATCCTCCGTATTCACCGGATCTTGCCTCTTCCGATTATCATTTATTCCGGTCGCTACAGAACTCTATGAACGGGAAAACTTTCAAGTATGAAGAGGCCGTTAAAAACCACATGGATTGGTTTTTCGCCGATAAGCCCCAGACGTTTTACGAACGCAGCATAATGAAGTTGGTGGAAAGATGGCTAGAGGTCATCGATAAAGATGGCCAATATATAATTGATCTTGTGTATCAAAAAATTGCGTTTTATTCTACTCTAAAAAACCGAACGAACTTATTTGTCAACCCAATATGTAAATTACGTAATAGTGTGTTATATGCGAAACTTAATTTGGTTGCATTGGTACGTTGCAAAACAGTTTAGACAAAACGGAATTAGTGGTGTACCAAATTATTACGATTGAGAGTCCACTACTAACAGACTGACTACCGTATATACAGAATGCTCAATTTCAAATGTAACATGTCAAATATCTCGAAAACAAAATAATATCAAAGTTCGTTTTTTTGAGGTTATTTTTAGGTATTGCTTTAAAAGAGACACATTTTAATAAAAAAAATTTTATTTCGGTGCAGGCGTCAAGGTAAAATAGAGGTTAACTTGTTTTTTCAAATGGAACTCTAATTTCTTTGAACACCTACGTTTGTTGCTCTCGTCACGACGAATTCAATGGCCACATGTCCAAAATGATTAGAGATCAAATGACAAAAAAATTCTAGCAATTTCTCTAGCATTTTATCGATATTTACCATAAATTAAAAACATGTCACGATATTCCTCACTAGTATACCATAACGCAAAAGAAAAGAAAATAGAAACGCAACTTATCCTAATGATTATGCTGGTCACACTCATATTTAATTTCAATAACTGACTTGGTTTAAATACTACACATTCCTATATCTTCTCATATATCTCTGACCTGGTGCTGCATGTTTATTTCCTGAAGAGTGTATATAGTTTTTGCATTGTCCAACACCCATTCCATATCCACTTACATTATACCAAAAAACTATAAACTTTAACGCAGGAAAATTATGATAGATCTCGGTACGAACAAGATAAAAGTTGATTTTACTAAGATGTACGAATAAAATTTGCTGAGTTTTGTTTTTTCATTATTTAAGGGGGGAACCTGGTTTATAGGGTCAAGATTTTCGAATTTTTTTTTCTTAATCGATAGTTAAATTATTCAAGAATATATTCCCAAAGTTTCAGAGTCCAATTCGAAGTATTTTAAAAGTTATAGAATATATGGTGAGTCAGCGTCGCGCAAGTATATGAGCGCTCGGCCGGAGCGGGCCGCGCGCTTTGTTCCTCGGTCCTTTTGTCCGGATTTAATACTCGGCAAATGTTTATCTGAGTAACGCACGACTTATATTATTGTAATTTCGTGTCCCAACACGTAATATAAAGATGTGTGGGTTTACTTACAGACGTAGGAACAATAAGTGTATATGTTTGGTTTTGATGCGTTTATAGTTTCAACGGTCAGTCTTGCTCCGATTCTCGACGAGTAAAGAGCTTCTATTTAGCAAAGATCGTTTGACACTTTTAAATATGTATCCAAAAAGCTCAAGAGGTTCTTCGCAGCGCGTTTCAAAACCGCCGAAAAGAAGATTTCATGGCAACCAACATTCCAAGAATGAAAGTGATAATTTAGACAAGAGCATCAGTGCGTAGCATTAAAGCCTGATATTGAGGAACATCTTACTTCGATCTATGAAGATCTTTCCAATGAAGATCTTTTGACTAGGTGTTTAGGTGGGCATACATAAAATTCCAACGAATCCTTCAATTCGACTGTGTGGTATATCGCTCCCAAACACCTCAATTCGGGTTTTAAAATTGTTCAAATCGCTGCATATTTGGCTACTGGCATTTTTAATGAAAGCTATACTGCCATTTTATTAACAATGCAATTATTAGAAATAAATATCGGCCAGCAGTGCAAAATGTTTGTTGATAAATACGATGCGCAGCGGCGCCGAAGCAGCACGACCAAGAAGACTCGCACAGCTCGTAGACTGAAGCAAATGCAGCGAAACGAGTTTTATGAAGAAGCTGAAGGCTTGCAGCATGACCCTGGTATAGCTGATCAGCATAAGATTGCGGTAAGTCACCAATAAATGATATTTTTTTGTACCGCAAACTTTAAACGCGTTTTTCTCGAAATATCATTTTCGTACTTTCTTAAAATCTGCAGGAAAGATAGAGAATAAACTAATTGATCAATCGACTTGATGTGAACCTCAAGCATTGGTAAAAACATTAATTTAAATAGTTGTTATTGCATAAAAACGGAAGACATTTTTCTCAAAAATGTCATTTTTTTGTTCAAGTGCTAAAAAATTGTGTATTTTACGGGTTTTTAACCATGTTCCTGGTTCACATAGAATAAAAATATATGAAAATTAATAATCCTTTTGGTTTTATTGTTTCAGATCAAAATCGCGAGCTATATTTTTCCCGCAGATTGGTAACTTAATTGGCGAGGCGCTTTGATTAGAGATACACCACGGCTCCATTTTGCGATTATTTTACAATATAAAAATTTTGTTTACATCTTCAAATAAGCAGTTAAATATTGTAAAAGTTTCAGAAACCTCAACTGCATTATTGTCGATAAAAAAATTCATAAAAATCTCCTTTTTTTAGCTTCCTAAACCAGGTTCCCCCTTAATCTCTAATCATCCTCTGGTATCCTGGGTATATGATCATTAAATTCATCGTGACAAGGGCTATAAATGTAGGTGTCCAAAAAATTAGAGTCTCATTTAAAAAAATTATTTGACCTTTATTTGACACCTTCACTCAAAATCAACTTTTTTATTACTTATTTTAAAACGCGTCCCCTTTGAAAAAATACATTTAAAAAACGGACCTCGGTATCACATAGTTTTCGAAATATTTAAACTGTTATATTTGAAATTTAACACCCTGTACATATGAATCGATTATAAGAGATGAGGTAAGACATATATATAATGTATGTATATAATGTAAATATTGGCTCTATGTTATATATAGCATGTTCGGGATCTTTTGAAAATGAAAAATTGTTAAAATTAATCCGATCAAACTGAGAAGAAAAGTCAAGTACCATTTTGCAAAAATCGCAATAATAATTGAATTATTTGAAAATGACCACATCTAGAAACTCTTTTAATTGATAACTTGAAAATTTGCTATTAAATTTACGTATTTATTTACAAAATGGTAAAGAACTTTTTTGTTCAGAATGACGTAATTTACAATTATATGACGGCTATTGTACCCAGCGACAGGTTCAAGATTCATAGTTCAAAGTTCAATATACTCTTATCTCAATATCTATTGTTAGACATAATAGTCGTTATATATATAATTGTAGATTAGATCATTCTGAACAAAAAAATCCTTTACCATTTTGCAAATGAGTACGCGAATTTTCAAGTTATCAATTAAAAAAAACTTCTAGATGTGGCCATTTCCAATCATTAATAACTTAATAACTATCGCGATTTTTGCAAAATGGTACTTGATCTTTCTTCTCAGTTTGATCTGATTAATCATCACAATTTATCGTTTCCAAAAAGTCCCTGACACCCTGTATATTCTTGTCTGACAGACAAGAATATAATAAGAATATACTTACGTTTTTGCTAAATTCTTCTTTGCAATGTGAGTCGGATGTTTCAAATATTGTCATTTCGTTATCATAACTACACAAAGTCGTCAGTAGTAAGGCAAACGTGTCAATTAGTAACCAGGTAATTTCATAGTGGAAATAAGTAAATAATTTAATGATATACATGATAAACTAAGTACACAAAGTTGATTTTTTTGGAATATTTGGGGTTTTGTGTTAATTTTTTTAATTTATAGAAAAATTTTCACTTATTTATAATATTTGCTTAGAAATCATAATCGAAAGTAGCATTTAGACACGATATGTTAGTTTTGTTTTTCATTAACAATTTACTTTCGGAAAATTAAAGAAACAACTGCATAAATCTGACAAACAAAGATCTGATACTAACTATAAACTTCTAAAATATCCGCGAATAACTGTTCGAACTGTCGCCGTTACCAATGCGCTTATATAATAATGATGTTGCAGCACATTTACTGACTTTCAATTTTGCTCGAAACTTATATATAACCGACAATGCACAAAATTTAAAAAACACATATTTAGATTAATATGGACCCACGTATTGGTTGATTTGTCGAATAAAACAGATATTGTTCACAAATCACAAATCAAGACTAATTGAGACATTTGCTTTAGCTTCTCGTAATCGTAATAATTTGACGAGTACCTTATTTCATGGCGTCTGCACTGTTACGCAACTAAGTGGACATTGAGTGAAAAACTACCGCTGTCACAAATACGTGGCGTTAGTCTCTCATGAGAGATCAGTATAAGCGACACTTGTAGCGGACAGATTAATCGATCAAGCAAACACCCTCAGACTCGTGGTGAGTTCTTCACGGTGAGATTCGAGGAAATCTCTGTTCCTGGTCAGATTCGTGCACCCTCAGCACCCGTATGTCTCCCAGGGGCTACCACGGCTTCTCCACCGTGACGAATGCGAGCGATCCGTCATATGACGTATCAATCTGTGCGTTCCTCTACGTCTCGCACTTACCTTTCTGCGGCCGCAGCAGAGCATGGCTGCTGCGCTGCAGCTGCGGCGAGCCGTCGACGAGAGTTGAGGCTGATGACAGACGTAGCTGAGTCGTGCGCCCCCTTCCCGCTGCAGCTGCACCACGCGCACCTGCAGCTGCACCTGCTCCCGCTCCCGCTGTCCTTGACCGACACCGACTCGACCACCGTACTTGATGCGCACGTGTTTTCGCCACTGCATGAGTTCGGTGCGTCATGCCCTCTTCCTGGAATCACGGCAGGACACCCGGTCAAAGTACCCACGCATTCGTCCAAAAGTGCGCGCGATACGCGATAGTCGTGGGCCAAATACGCGTAATTGTACGTTCGTGAATACAACAGTATCAGAGGGAGAGTGTGCAATAATTTAAAAAATGTTACGCAACGCTTCTTTTTCATTGATAGCTAGCGTATGAATTATGCAGCAAATTATGCTTGCTGGGTTGGAAAATACGCCTGAGGCGCCTGAGGTGTAATGACATAAAAATATTCATATCAGAGAGCGCACGGTTATTTGAAAATGCCCACGTAATGCTTTTTTCATTCCACCGAAAGCTAGTACATGAATTATGCAGCGGCTGCTGGCTGGAAGTTTGGAAAATACACCTCGGGCGCGTAATGAGATAAAAATATCAATATCAGTACAGAGTTATCTGAAAATTTCAACGTAACCCTCTTCCTTTCACTGCCGGCAGAATTGGCACGTAAATTACACAACAAACACTTGCAGATTTGAGAAATTTGCACCTTGATTGTAACGGCATAGGGACACCGATCACTCGAGAAAGTATAAAGTTATTTGAAAATTTCGACGCAATGCCTTCTTTTTCATCGATAGCTGACGCATAAATTATTGCATTTAGCGTTTGCAGCTTTGGGAAGTGCATCTCGAGTGCGATCCCGAGTAGAAAAATTAATAGGATTCTGGTAAGGGTCCGATTATTTTTCTCTAGCATTAATCGGGCCCCAGTAGGTATAGAAAGACAAAGGTCCTGCAAGATGTGTAACAAATGATTTTGAATGATGACAGGTCCTTATAAGGGAATATTATGAAAGTCTTATAAGAAAATATTTTTATTATCGCTTGAGTAAAAATATTCATTCCTTTTATTTCAAGAAATTTAGACTGTAATTCCTTTATTTCTTTATAACCTTGTTAGTATACAACAAGAATTCTTTATTTTAAAAATATAGCATATTTTACAATAAAATATAGCATTCTTTGTACATAAAAATATTGCTACTGTTTTTATTAAAGTTTGCTGTATTTCAAAACGAAGGCAATATTAGAAAAATCCTGGGAAGAGATTAATGAATATGGCAACTAATAAAACTAATAAAATTTGTTTATAATTGCAGTATAATTAAAAAGTCTTTAGAAAAATCAGATAGAGCGTACCTACTAAAACAATACTAAACTATGATAGTTTTATTACACGCTTCAGATCTTATTAATTTTCTATAACAAAACTTGATTTTGTATATTTCAGGTATCCTTAAAAGATCCTTCTAAGGCCCATTTCAGTGTTCTCAATCAAAGCCTAATTTATTAAATCTAAGGAATCCCTAAAAAATCCTTCTAAGACCCTTCTCAGCTTTCTCTGTCAAAGCCTATAATTGATTAAATCTAAAGCATCCCTCTAAGCATCCTTCTAAGGTTCTTCTCAGCTTTCCTTATCAAAACCTTATCTATTAGATCTAAGGCATTCCTAAGAAATCCTAAGGCCCTTCTCAGCTTTCTCTATCAAAGCCTATAATTTATTAAATCTAAAGGCATCTCTAAAAATCTTTCTAAAGCCCTTCTCAACTTTCCCCATCAAAACCTTATTTATTAGATTTAAGGCATTCCTAATAAATCCTTCTAAGGCCCTTCTCAGCTTTTCCTATCAAAGCCTTATTTCATAAAATCTAAGGCATCCCTAAAACATCCATCTCGGGACCGGATGTGATAATAATGAAGAATACCTTTTTAGGGCATCCTACTTTCAATCTTATCAGGGCCTTATATACTTCATGAGCATGTCCCTATCAATGTTTTGCTCGGGATGCTCCTAAATCTGAATAGTGTAATGCGATATGGACGACCCATTGTGGCGTGCGCGCGCATTGAATAGATGTCGTATTCTTACACAGAGAATTAAATTACGGCGACGTTAACGCACGTTTAATATCGTGGCGGGCACGTCCGCACATTTTATGCGCGGTCGGATCATAAACTTGTTAAGAGATGCCCGGTAATCTCCACGTGTCCCGATCCCTCATTTCCCACCCGTTCCCCGCGGACCCGTCCCCTCCGTCACATGTCTCATTAACCCATTTTCTCTTTCGCTCTCTCGGATATATCCGCGGCTGCCTTAATTTATTAACCGGCCAGCGCGCAATCGATTACCGATTCGCGCGTGCGGATGATTTTCTTCCTCCACTCGTCCTCTCGTGAATGGTTATATAAATCCACACAAACGTACGTGTATGTGTGTGTGCTTACGATATGTGTAGATCTGTCGCACCGTGTCGCCTCTCACCCTCTCCCCCGCCCCTCTCACTCTCTTTTTTGCGCTTTCATTCTTTCTTTTTCTTTCTTCTCTTGCCCTCGTTCTACATTTCCATTATATCCTGGCCCGACGCGCCCGTTGCAAAATGTCTCTCTTCTTTTTGCCGAAAATGAGCGTGACACGCGATGTCGGCATTAGTAATTGAAACGCGCGCTTCGAAATATATCGGTGCCTACTCTCGATAGAACTACGAGAAACTCGTCAAATTCGTCGTTCCGCGTTCGCAGACCTCCGCTGTATCTCGTGTCGCTGTTATTCCATCGGATTCATTTCAACGCGCACGTAACTTTTGCCCGAGTGACGGGAATCTTGACGAGCATGCACGTGCATGAACGTAAAGCATCTCGCACAATGTTCCGCAGAGCGACATAATTTCGAGAAAGTTATGAATGTGTATGGCTGTTTTAGAAAAATTATGGATACCGGTCTTATATATCATATATGTACCATATGGTATATGGTATATGGTATATAAGGCAGTCTCTGTCAAATAAGACACCTCTCCTGTCCAAAAATCGGGGGTCAACTGGAAAATTCCTTCGAGGCTCATCTTATAGCTATACATATGTAGTTTTATTTTAACTGTGACCTTTCGAAAAATCAACATGGCGGACCCCAATATGGTGGCCGAAGTCTGCAAATAACGAGATACGACAGATGAAATCGTTACTTAGAAGTTATAAAACAGTTTCGATTTTCACAGAAATATGTGCTAATGGGTTTATTTAGTAGCTAGCATTGAATCCATGAAAAAAAATGAATTTTTAGTTTGTCCAAAACCAATATGGCGGCTAAATTTTCCGTGAAATGCTAAAAAATTACTATTTCATACTTTAAATATTGTAATTAAAAATTACAAACTGCGTTCAGTTTCCGTGGAAATTTATATCATGATACATTTTCAGATGTTGATTATAGATTAACAATTGGGATGTCGTATATTTAAATATAACGAAACCTAATATGGCAGCTATATATTCGAAAAAAGTGCTAAAAAATAATGAAGTTGATATTCAAATCATACACACTCGTTCTAATTATTATTAATTTGACCGTTACGATTTTTTTCAGTTGTTGCTCATTAATATGAATGTTTAATTTCAATATGTCGAAGCCAATATAGCGGCCAGTTTATAAGTAAAATGCTGAAAAATGATTATCTTGTAAAATGAAACTCACAAACTTTGTTAAATTTTCATTAAAAAATTTCATGTTCCTACAACCTTTTGGTCAGTGGTTACAAATTAATTATTACATTTTTTCAAATATAACTGGACACAACATGGTGGCTAAATATTTATATTTAATATATAGGGTGTCCCATTTTAAAGGACCCACTCAAATATCTCAGAAACACTGCGTTAAATCGAAAAATGCTTAAGACAAAAGTTGTTTAGCTTGAAGGAGGATATAGGACAGCGATAGCATTTTGTCTATAAATGGTACCGCTTTCAAGATATTCACTGATTATCAATTTTCTTAAGTGGAAATCTCAGTTTTTTATTATATCATCTTTTTCTACCAATTAATTTAAACAACCTTTGTCTGAAACATTTTTTTATTTGCTTAATATATTTTGAGATATTTAAGGAAAACTTGGTAACATTTCCAACATTTATCTTACGATATCAAGCTAACTATTCGTCGAAAGAAAAAATAGTATTAGAGTTTTTTACTTTATTTACTATCAAGAATATACTACTATAATAGTGCCCTAACTTTTATTAAGTTAATAATTTTGAAATTTCCAAAGGTCGATAAGTTAATAAAAGTTCGGGCACTATTATAGTAATATATTCTTGATAGTAAATAAAGTGAAAAAGTTTAATACTATTCTTTCTTTCGACGAATAATTAATGAGATATCGTAAGATAAATGTTGGAAAAGTTACTAAGTTTTCCTTAAATATCACAAAATATATTAAGCAAATAAAAAAATGTTTCAGACAAAGGTTGTTTAAATTAATTGGTAGAAAAAGATGATATAATAAAAAACTGAGATTTCCACTTAAGAAAATTGATAATCAGTGAATATCTTGAAAGCGGTACCATTTATAGACAAAATGCTATCGCTGTCCTATATCCTCCTTCAAGCTAAACAACTTTTGTCTTAAGCATTTTTCGATTTAACGCAGTGTTTCTGAGATATTTGAGTGGGTCCTTTAAAATGGGACAACCTGTATATATATATATATATATATATAGTATATACGTATATATATATATATATATATACGTGGGCCACCCTGTACATATACGAGGGCTGTCCGATAAGTACTTAGCCTCACCGCCCGATGGCGCCACTATCGCAAGAGAAATTTACTATCGTGTAATACATTCTCGTAGACGGCTACTGTCGAAATTTCAGCCGAATCGGACTCGTTTTGTTTTGACCGCGTGTGGAAGCGGGCGTGTCCGCGGATTTTAGAAAAATGGAAAAAGAGCAATATCGGTCGGTGATTCGATTCTTGTTTTTGGAAGGGAAATCGCGCAGCGAAATCAAAGAGCGCTTGGATGCTGTATACGGTGACTCTTCTCCTTCGATGGCGACCGTCAAAAATTGGTTTAACGAGTTTCAACGTGGTCGCACGTCGGTTTTTGATGAGCCACGCCCAGGTGCCCCGAAAACGGCTACCACGGAGGATAACATGACAAAAATCCACGATCTCGTATTGG